CATGAAGGCAATCGGAGCTCTCTCTCTCTCTCTCTCTCTCTCTCTCTCTCTCTCTCTCTCTCTCTCTCTCTCTCTCTCTCTCTGTGTGTCGAGAGATGATCCTCGTAACAGGGCCAAAGCAAAGCCTTTTGATCCCCGGCACGATTTGGAAGTGCTGCTTGCAAGTTCGCGCAACAGAAATTATCGATTGATTCATTGCTATTTTTCTGTCCCCTTGATTCACCGCTTTTAATACGCATCGACCACGTAAGTATCGTAAGGAACGCTGAAAGGCCACGAATGGGTGGGAGCCACACAACGAGAGAGAGAGAGAGAGAGAGAGAGAGAGAGAGAGAGAGAGAGAGAGAGCATAAATGAATAAAGAGGGAGTTTCACACTTCGTTTCGACTCCTCATTCACCTATAGGGCGTTCCATATCCTGAACTAGATGCACCTCCTTCCGCTGAGCACGAAGTCGAGCAACACCTTCATCCTTCGATACTAACCCGGTCGTTGTCCCTCCTGCAACACCTGGCTGGCTCTCAGAGGAGGAGGAGGAGGAAGGGGAAGAGGACGCTTCCGACGACGCGGATACCGTCGTCGGATTCCGCCCAACTTTGGCGGAGTGCCCGACGTATTCGCCACGGAAACCGGGCGCTCTACCTCCGCCAGCCATCGGGACAGAGCGGCGCCTCCGTCGAAGGCGGCGGAGCAGTCTCCGACTCCGCCCGCACGCGCCGCCTCTCGGCTGCGCAAGGGCGGACTGCATTTCCGCCCTTCCCCCCTCCCCCTCCTCCTCCATTCCCCTCACTCTTTCTTCTGCCCAGCTGCTGCAGATTGATCGAGCTCCCGATCCCAAGCCGGTCCCGATCGCCGCCGAGGCCGCAGCAGCAGCAGCGGGGGCTTTCCTCCGCCACCCCCGAAAGGTAATCATCCCGTGCGCTATGAGCCCATTTTTGCCCCTCGAAATTGACGAGACACCCGTAGTAACGGACGAACCCCTCCTTCCCGCCACAACCCATGCCGATGGCGCGCCGATGTGATCGGACTTATCCACTTTTCTTCCCGCCATTTCCACATCGAACCAGGCGTCCCGCGCAGCCCGGTGACCATAGCCGCTAAGGCGTTGATGTCTGCAGCGCGTCCGACGTGGGCAATCATCGGTCGGGACCGGCGCGGGAAGTCGGAATGCGAGAGAAGCTGCCACGTCACCCCTTGCCCTGGCCCTTCCCGCCCGTGCCCTTGTGGCCGCCCACGTCGATTCGTTTAGAACGCCTACGGCGGCTGACGGGGACGCGCATCCCGATAAACCCGCCATAGCCATTTCCATAGCCTCTCTAATGAGCTCGACCAGCCAATCCAGCACAACACACACCCGCGAACCGGCAGGGAGGGGGGGAAGAGCCGTTAAACATCAATGCACCATTGTGGTTCGCCTGAAGGAAAGGAGTGGGGGGGGGGCAGGAGAGGGGAGGGAAGGGCGGCACGGAGAGGTCTCCCGGCTGACCGGCAGGCATCACTGTTTTTTTTTGTTTTTTCTTGGCTAAGTACCTGATGCCACAGTACATAGTAGCAGAGCTTTTTGGAAAAAAAGGGGATCCCATATGGTTTCCCCAACTTCCCCGTCCGACGGCAGTGCAACAGAAAATGGCTGTTTCTACTCATGGAAATTTGCGTGTCGCCACGGCCTTGACCCGCGGCGCGAAGTTGGTAGGAAAAGCAACGGAGCAAGTTTTCGGGTTTTTTCTTTTTGTTTTTGTTTTGTGAAGGCGGTCTTTCTTTTGCACAAAGGGAGACCGGGTGTCTCCGTTGGACCCGTGCACGGCCATCGAAATTCGGCGACGCAATCGGGAAAGCGCTAAGAAGTCCGGGCCTATGGGATCCCACTTTTTCCCTACCAAAGGTTGGGCACTTCTCCTACTCTCAAGGGACTTCTACGACTTTTTGGTAGAAGTTCATAGTGGGATCAGCCTCTAATCCCCAACCAATTCAATTACCTAATCCAGCAGCCTATCTCAGTTGGTAAGGCACGCAAGCGGCATTCAGGAGGTCTTGGGTTCAGTCCCCATTTGTCTCATGTACCTTCCTGCGCATGCTTGGCGCCCGCCACCTAAAGACAGCCCGTTGGTCCCCCCAATTGGCATTAAAAAGCAGTGTCTGCTGATGTTCATAAGGGGAGGAGTAATCGGGGAGGCACAGCGACTGGCCACTCAGAGCCTGGTAATGACTAAGCCAATCCAGACAAATAAACATCAACATGATATCAACACACGAAGAAAGAGAAAAAGAGAGAGAATGAGAGAAAGAAAAGAGAGAGAGAGAGAGAGAGAGAGAGAGAGACTCTGAGAGAGAAGGGGGCTCAACCTGATTCCCAAAACACGACCAAGATGGCCGAAAAATTTGAATAAAGCACCGCCATGTACATCAAAGATAATCATGAATACTGGCGCAGCGACCCTACGCTGCATTTCATCCGGCCGCCACTACCGGAATCATCAGGGGGCTCGTGTCGCTGGGAAGGGATTGAGCAAGTCAACTTTCCTCAATAAGTACTCCCCAAGTTCAACGTAGGACAAACGGAAAGAAAGTCACAGACCTACGAAAACATCCACAAGAATACCCCGCAGAGACTAGAAAGTAGACAACAGGTTACGCGACCAGATGCACTCAAAAGGTCGTAGCCACACGTTCCGGTAAAAGAGGACTAGGAAAAGACAGACCAGATACAGCAGGAAAGGAGGTGGAAAAAGACAAATTCGTCCAAGAGCGAAAAGATAGTTCCAGCCCATAGAAGTTGACGACACGTCCTGCCAAGAAACAAAGGCAACTTACCAAGCTGCCATCTGTTCGGCCAAAGTAAAGGCCCATCAAAACGTTGTAGGCGTTTCGGGAAGAAAAGGAAAAGAATAGAGAAGAGAAAGGTCAAAGGGTTAGCTTTAGGAAGAGAGAAGAGATGGTTATTCGTGCTCAAGCGAGTTAGACGGAGAGTTCGCGTTACATGTACTGGCGGGTCGGCACCCTTCTCGAGGCAAAGACAGAAGAAAAAGAGGATCGTGCCGGGGCCAAAAACCAGAAGAAACAGGAGAGTCAAGAAGCATCTTCTTAGCCCCAGGACTCATAACAAACTGAAACATAAGACAATTGAACGCCGACGTGGGCGTCCTTTACGGGCTATCACCCTGAAGCTCGTCCGCTTCGTCTGACGTAAGTTGCTAGGGCTCGACGGGGGCGTCGAGAAGTGGTCCGGGCTAACTGTCAGGCGGCCACAGGCAGTGCGCCGCCTGAAATCTACGGTTTTGGGACTTAGGCGCAAAGACGAGTCTGAGTTTTGACGGTACTCTGGTTAGACCAGGCAGCGGAAATTAGGGGAGCTCAGGGCGCCCTTGATTTTGGGCGCGCTGAACCTTACGGGTAACCCTCAAAGATGGCGAGATGGGTGGTCGCACTCGGCACATCAACGGACCGTCATTTCCGGCCGTTCAGAGGGTTAGACCCGGATTGGCCTGCCGCGGAGAGGCACCGCGGGAACTGACCTCGCAGCCACATTTTTTGCGGCATACGACCGGGGCCGAAATGAGGCCTTAAATTTTTGTCTATTTTAGTACCATAATTAAAGATGGGGAAAAAGGATTATGACCAGTAGGGGAGAAGGGAAAAACATAATATCCCTTAATTTCTTTATTTTTTACAGCATTTAATTCAAGGGGGAATACCCTTGTTATTTTATGTTCCCGGCAATGAAATTAAAAACATAGAAAAAAAATAAAAATGGTAAAAGAGAAAAGAAACAAAAGGAATTCGGCCATTTATTTAAATTTTCTCGGAATTTAATTTTGGGGAACTTAGAGTTAATTTACTATTTCCGACAATAGAATTAAGGAAAGGGAAGAATGATGAAAAACGATGAAAGGGGCGGGAACCCATGACTATTGGGGGATTGGCCTAATTTCGCCTCGATTACCCGCCATCAGCTCTGACTCCGGATTGATCATTTTCCCCGGATTTTAACAAGTTAACACTACTGCCGATGGTTGAGGTTCCTTGCGACGCTTTCCCTGGTGTGCTTGATTACTAACATTACCGCAGTTGAGATGTTCTGAGAGCAGGAGTCGCATGGACAGCATGGGGTGGTGCTGCCTTGGGTCGACTATGGTGTTTGGTTCGGTACGGATACGAGGGTTGTTACGGAGTGGCTACGTCCTACGGTGTCTGACGTGCTTCAGGTACAGTATGAGCCCGGTGACAGCTGTCTCACTACGGTGACTTATTTTCAGGTTTGGGACAGCTGCGGTGATTTATTCTCAGGACCGGGTTCACTACGACAGTTATTCCAGGCGGCAGTTTGTTTTCAGGTCCGGAAACGTTGCGGCATTCTATATCAGGTTCGGGACAGGTTATCATGGCATGATTGCACGGGTTCGACATCCGCATGGCACAACAGCCCGGTACTGGATTTCGGGTTTGGTCAGGTTCGGTGGCATCGTGGTGTTTCGTTTCAGGTTCGACGCCCTCAGGGCAGTTTATTTCGGAACCTCTGCGGTGATTTATTTTCAGGTCCGGGATCATTGCGACGATTTACTTCAGGTTCGGTACTATTACCGCGCCGCTGCATCTTGCCGTGTTCGACATGTTTCAGGTACGGTATTTGTTCGGCATTGGCGTGGTACACGCCACAACATCATTTTCAGACTTGGTACTGGATCGGTATCGACACGGCACGAGGCACGGGAACCCCGGATGGTTATATCAGGTTCGGCTTCGGTATGGTAAGAATTACAGCGAGCCTGACTGAGTGATCCGGGTTTGACATTGACAGTTACGGATTGCTAAGATATAATGTCGAGACAAGTTCTAGTTGGCTAGTTCAAGGTTCGGAATTGGTATGGTGACGCCGCAACTTGTTCCATGGGACACCGCAACGGGGTACCACTATTTTCGTGTGTGTACTAGCCTGGGACACTTACGCGCGCTGATCCAGCGATCGGTCAGAGATTGCCACATTTGCTCCGGTTCTATGGGACTTGGTACCGTCAAACTGCTGGTATACGGGTAGTGTGGCCAGCGACAGATAGAAGTGTTAACCTTTAGACATATGCAGACTAAGGGGGGGTTGGCTGCAAAGCTTTTTTTTTTTTTTTTTTTTTTTTTTTTTGGTGGGATTGGGCTCAGCTTGCCTGACTCAAGGGACTACTTCTGCTACCCGAAGATAACTGGTACTGCAGGGTCTGAAGGGCCACGCGGTTTCGCAAGGTACCGTGCGAAAACTGGCAGTACAGGTGGATCCGCATGGGGACCCCTGCCCCGACGCCGTGGCCACTACGGACCTCAGTGCTTAGTCGCTCAGATATCACTGACCCGCTAACGCCCGTGGCAAGGAGGGGGATGTAGGGGACTATCTCGGCTCGGAACCATTGCGAAACTCGTCGGAGTTGTCTACGCCAATGGGCTGAGGCTGGTGCCTGGGTACTGTGGACGCCGAGCCTGTGAGACCGGTACCACTGTTTTCTTTTTCCTCCATGGCGAGGCGGACTATTTCCTGCACACTTGCACTCCGAGAAGACCCTGGTCGGTCAGACCATGGGACTGAAGGGGATATAGGGGAGAACAGTGAAGGGAATGGGATTGCATGCCAGGTGTGCCCGGCGTCAAGCAGTTGCAGAGTGGGAGACGAGCTCGAGGCGGAGACGCGTCGGCGCTCAGGCGGTTACTTGCGAGTGAGAGACTGCATGAGAGAGAGAGCGGACAGAGTGTGAGAGAGAGAGCGGACTGAGTGAGAGAGAGAGAGAGAGCGGACTGAGTGGAGGAGAGAGAGAGCGGACTGAGTGGAAGAGAGAGACAGCGGACTGAGTGGAAGAGAGAGACAACGGACTGAGGGAGTGAGAGAGAGAGCGGACTGAGTGGAAGAGAGAGACAGCAGACTGAGAGAGTAGAGAGCGGACTGAGTGAGTGAGACAGACAGAGGAAGGGAGAGAGAGATACTGCACAGTGAGAGAGTGAGGAAGAGACTGGTTCTATGAGAGATGTGTGCGTGAGAGAGCAAGAGAGGGAGTGAGAGAGAGATAGACTGTCTGGCATTCTCGCTGCTAGCGGGAACGGTGAACAATCAACCATCCCGCTGCTAGCGGGAAAGGGGCTAATTAGTGAATTTCAGATTTGACAATCCCGATGCTAGCAGTAATGGTATACAATCAGGCATCCCGGCGCAGGTGGGAACGCTACTCAATCTCTTTCAGTGTGATCATCCCGGTGCTAACGGGAACAATATACAGTCAGGCATCCCGCTGCAGGTGGGAACGATACTCAATCAATTTCAGTGTGATCATCCGGCTGCTAACGGGAACGGGATACAATCAGGCATCCCGCTGCAGGTAGGAGTGGTATTCAATCAGCTTCAGTGTAACCATCCCGCTGCCAGCTGGAATGGGGCTCATTAGTGAATTTCAGATTTGACAATCGCGCTGCTAGCGGGAACGATATACAATGTAGCATCCCGCTGCTAATTACCTTACCTTTGCTGGGGCCAGTTGCTTTACTTATGGTGATAAGCCAATCAAGGTTGCCGTTGATCAGACAATCAGGCATTTCAAATATTGGCGGGACCAGTTGCTTTACTTATGCAGATCAGCCAATCAAGGCTGTCGTTGATCAGACAATCTGACATTTTAGATATCGGCGGGGCCAGACACTTCTGTTGATAAGGGAATCGGGCTTTACTAGTACCTTCACTCATCAAGCGCCCACCCCCAAGGCCGCGGCCTTCCCCAACCAACGGGGGTGCAAGGGCTGATTAGTCAAACACTAATTAGCTTGTTTTCTTGATTAGTTATATTTTTGACAATCATTTTATTTAGTTTTTGTTTAAATATTTCCCGATCCGCGCGCTTTTACGCGAGCCGCGCCCGGAGCAAAGTTCGCCCTCTCGTCAAGGCGAACGTTTTGAGACGTTTTTTGAAAAATTCTAATGGCTAGAAAAAAAGATATAGAATTGTTTGTATTTTTTTAATTAAAAATCTAAAAAATCACGAGTTAAAATTTCTAATTGGTTTTTCCTCGATATCTCCTGATCCGCGTGCTTTCGTGCGAGGCGCACTGGAAGCAAAGTTTGTCCTCTCGTCGAGGCGAACGTTTTGGAATATTGTTTGAGAAATTTGAACAGCTAAAAAGCGAGATATGAATTTTTTTGTATTTTTGATTAAAAATTCTAAAAATTTTGATTTTCGTTTTATTGAAATGGTCGGGAAAATAAGCGAAATTAGGGGAGCCCCGCAGGGACCAACTTTGGTCCCTGTATTTTTCCCGACATTTTGAGACCCTAGTCGGGGAAAACGGACTTCGTTTGGGCAAACGGCGAGCTCCAACAGATAGAAAAGATGGAAGAAAATCAACGAAAAATTGAATTTTTTTGTAATTTTGTTTAAATTAAAAAAAAAAGGAATTTAAAAATGTAATCCAATAAGTTTTTCTTCTAAAACTAGTGAAAGCTTACAAAAATTTTCTCGCGTCGAGCAGGGCTTTGCGGTGTTCGTGCGGTTGCGCGCAAAACCCAAAACCCTAATTAGGGAAAACCCTAATTAGGGTGAAGTCCTAACCCCAATTTTGAGAGAAGCGGGTAGATAGAGGGAAGCCATAGGTTCTAGCTTCCGCATTTGTTACGGATTATTTTTTGTCAAATATATCCCGTAAGATTGTGGAAATTAATTTGCGAAGTTTTGCCCCATTAAATAATTAAGAATTATTTTACTTTTGATTTTGTTATTTAAAATCGATAAAAAAATTGAAATGAATATTAAAAATTGCGTAGGGGCATTTGTTTGACTTCAATGCTCTTCATATCTACTTTAACTATTTGAGGGACTTTTTTCCGAACCCCATCTCACCGGGAGGGAAGGAAAACTGCTGTCGAAATTTCTCAAAATTTCCTTTTTAATGAAAATTTTTGCTAATTAATTAACAAAAAATATTTAAAAATCGAGTTAAATCAATTTTCCTTTTTTTTCATTATTCCTTTTGATATTCCCTCTTCGGCAGCGCTGTTTGAGGGCTTCGCCCGAACCCCATCCCAACAGGGGGAGGCGAAACGCTGCCGAAATTTTAGTAAATTCCCCAAATTTTATTTCTACCCCTAAAAATCATCAAACTCGGTGGGCTTATATATGTATTGATCCTTAATATATATAAACTAAGAAAGAAATTTTATCTTAACTAAATACATTTT